TTGAGGCACATATCTTCGCATACAATCTAATGCTGCTCCGTTACACTGGCATGGCATTTGGCTGCTGCTTGGTTTTGTTTTTTTTTTGTTTCTTTCTCCCTGACAAAAAATGAAAAACGAAAACAAATCGCACGTGAGCAGATTTTATGTGTGATTTCAAAGCAAATACACACTCCCACATTCACGCAAACATATGTATGTATTGGAATAAACACAGATGCACATACTCGTCGTATCCATATGTATGTATGTATATATGTATGTGCCTTTTGTATATTTTTTATTTTTTGGTACTCCTTTGCTTTCGTCATTTTTCCTATTTCCATTTTAACAGTTGTAAGTGATTCTGCTTTGCGAAACAATTCAAGGATTTTGCATAAATCCTGTGTTGAAGGAAACAGCGACAACGGAATTAGAAAGAAAGACATACAAAATACGAAGGTGGACAAGCACGCACACACACACACACACACACACACACACACACACACATGTAGGGAGAGCGTCTGGTTTACATTGAAACACCTGATCTTTCTGCTTGAAAAGGGATTCGAATTCCGAAAAATAAAAAAAAAAAATAAAAAAGGAACTCAAGTGAAATTGTGTACTGCAGCTTGGTAAGCATGAAACGCTAGAAATACAAGAGTAGAAAAATAGTTGCTGGAATAACAAGTGCCCGATTGCAGTTACAGAATTTTATGTGTAGAAATTTCATGTAACAAGATCTTACAATGCGCACATAAATACCCAGTAGAGAAAGCGATAGGGAGAAGAGCATAGGAATTTTAATATTAACACAGTTCGCATGGACATTGCAGAGCTAGTCTTTGCATAGGTGTATTTACGTAGTATACTCGCTTGGCCAAAACAGCATCCCAAAAAAATATAGAAAAAAGTTTTTTCTAAACAGCGGTCGCCACTCGGCAAGCAAAGGCAAAGGCCTCCGAGTGTTTCCATGTCTTGAAACGCTTCTTATAAAATCCAGTTCGAAGGCGGCGTGAAGCTGTAGGGCCCTCCATTTTTTAAATAACATCGATATGTACAAAACAGGTTGAGATATTAAGTCCTATGCGACCTGATTCAATGCGTCCAAGTAATCTGGCCTTAGTGTCAATCCGGAAAAGGCAATTTGTAATGCTATTGATTAAACGCGCTGACCACGTGCAGTGCTACGAGATTCGGACACTCTAGAATTTTGAAAGATCTTCCAGCAGACTTCAGGCACCTGGACTACGCATTCCCTACTCATGTTGTATGGGTGCCAGGTCATCGGGACATACCGGACAACTGTGTTGCAGATGAGCTGGCTAGGAAAGGAACCCTACTGTAGGTTAGATAAGCGTAGATCTCGCCCTCTCTTCCATTTGGAGCGACCACAGCTCCGATATATAATTAGAATTCTCACCGGGAACTGCCTTATGGGAACCTACGCTGCTAGAATGGGTTTGAGGCCAAACGGTTACTGTCATAGCTGCTGTCGACGTTCGCTCCTGCACTACTCTGCGATTTTGTGCGCTTCATCAGAGCTACAAGTTGGTTCTATTTCTAAGGTAAAAGCAGGAACGAAAGGAGTCTCTAATATGTCGCACAGGGGGCCTATGGAGGTCTAAATGTGCCCTTTCCTATACGGGATGAGGGCATCCAGGATAACTTAACCTATCCTAACCTCGATTGTCCACATTGGAACGTGTTCCAATAAGCAGAGACTCTATGTTGGTTGCCAGGAGATGGAGAGTGTGCTAACATCAAAGCAGGCTGGCTTTGACACTTTACTCACACTGACAACTGGGAAGCGTTACAGGACTTATCTCTTCTGGAACTTTCTTCCGAGGCTGAATTAGTTAATTTTTCAACCGTTTTCCGATCGGAAGATTTGGAATAGTCAGTGCAACAGACAGAATAATTGAGTGGGTCCTGCTGCAATCCTTAGTGGGTTGACCACAGGATACTATAAATGGAGCTACCACCTGGCTACCTCACTACTAAGATTACCTATTTTAAGCTCAGATTTGGTTCAAAATTGCTAAGATATATTCTCTTTCTTACCTTCCTTACTTATCGGTTTTGCGCTCAATAGCCATCCATGTGTGCTTTTAGTTCAATCTCCGCAGGGTGTTTTCGAGCATAAACTTAGTCGTCGTTCGAAGCATTAGAAACACTGTCTCCCTGCACAGGTTATATATGTAAGTAAGTAGTATATATATATGTAGGTATACGAATATCCCGACAAGCAAAGATTTTTAACTATATGGTGTACTCTAAGCGCATGTAACAGACGGCATGCATATCCTGCGCACATTAGCAGCATCACTCAACATAGCAGTCACACACTGACGCCCACACCAGCACGCCACAGGAAGCACTCCGTGGCTGAAGTGTCCTTGTTAAGCTGACTGTCGCGCTTAGTTACAAAGATTTTCAAAATTGGAAACAATTTGTTAAGGTTGCACGTATGTAACTGTCCTACGCACTTCTCTATTTCTTTTTTAGTTTTCTTCCTTTCCGTCTCACTTGAACAAGTTTTGTGATATTAAAGTGAATAGTAAAGTGAATCTTTCGTACTCGTATTATATGCAGTAGAGCAAACCATCTGGCGATAGTGTTTTACACAATTCTGAATAAATTAAAAGCCTTGAAGATAGAAAAAATTGCATATTAGTATGTTTTGCTCTTTGGATATCAATTTTAATGGAAGGAAGCATAGTGAAAAGCTATAAATAATCACAATGTTACCTCAGTGTTTCAGTCGTTAAGTCGTTTATAAAACCACCATCCCCGATTTCCAAATATCGGAATGATGATGACGGTAAATTAGGGTGGATTTCCGTGGGTATGTGAAGCATGTAAAGAGCGTGTGGTATGTGGTATCCTGCCGTGTAGCAGGCCGTTTACGTTAAATATTTCAAGCTAGACATTGCTTGAGCGTTTAGTAAGACCCTGACATTCGAGGATAGTATCCTTCCGATCGATGTCTAATTCGATGAGACGATATAGGGAAAGGTGGTGTAGTGTGAACACTAGTTTGTATGCAAATGTGTGTGGATCCCACGCGTGACTAAAGTAAATATGGCTCGCCATATTATCTGAGTTCTTTCGTCATAATAATAAGCTACCATCTTAATCTTAATTTTAATAATAATTTTAATCTCAATCTTAGTCTTCATTTTAATCTTGTTCTTAGTCTTAATATTATTCTTAATTTTAGCCTTTATCTAATCTTACTCTTAATCATCATCTAACTCTTATTTGCAATCTCAATGTTAGTCTTAGTCTCAATCTTAATCTTAATATAATCTAAATCTTAATCTTAGTCCTAATTTTATTCTCAATCTCTATCTTAATTTTAATCTGAATCTTATTCTTAATTTTAATCGTAATCTTAATATTAACCCTAATCTCACTCTTAATCGTAATTTAATCTTATCCTCAATTATAATCTTAATCTTATTCTGATCTTATTTTTAATCGTAATCTTAATCTTAAACGCAATCGTAATCTTAATCCCAATCTTAATCTTAACCATAATCTTACCCTTAGTGTTAATCTTAGTCTTAATCTAAATCTCAATATTGATATAACTCTTAACTTTAATCTTATTCTAATCTAAATTTTAATCTTAACCACAATCTTAATTTAAATCTCATTCTTAAATTTAATTTTAATCTTCATATTAATCTTAATCTTAGTATTGATCTTAATCTTAATATTAACCTAAATCTTAATCTTAGTTTTAATCTAAGTCTTAATCTTCATCTTAAGCAAGCTCAACCACCATACCCTCCTTCCTTCTGTCGTTTGCAATAACAACCGAGCGTAAAGAATTTCTACTTGCAAAATAATAACTATTATTACTCATATTGTCCTAAAAATGGTTCCAGTTAACTGCTGAATAATATATCTTAAATATCTTGTGTAGTAAACGCCCATAATTTGACTTTAAAAAAACTTTATATAGGCTACAATATTTATACAACGAAATTTAAATTCCGCTCCATTTATGTTTCCCACACTTTTCATAATGTTCAACGGCAATTAAAAAATTCCGCGATATTCAATACAGCTACCGAGCATTTAGAAAAGTGTTCACGGCTATTGTCGAAGAAATACGCTCTGTGGCTTCTATTAATTCTTTACAGATTCTGTAATTGATTTTCATGCCCAGTCTATCGGGTCGTTACTGTAACAATTTGCCTTTATTACGTGCACGTGTCCAATTTCAAAGCTGTATACAGTGAAAGCTCACATAAGCGGACGCTTTAATAAGCGGACATCTCCCATAAGTGGACACATTCTTGGGAACGTACAATTTTTGGTTTGTTTTGCATACAAAATGATCTCCCATACACCGACTTTCCGATAAACGGACGCGGACACTCAAAAATGCCCATTTATGAAAAAAAAAAATCTCCCATAAGTGGACGCGAAGCTCTAACAAACGCTCAATTTTTTCATTCATTCATTTTTTTTTTCAGTCGAATGTTGATTCTTGTGCTTGTACATACGTATCGGTGTCCGCTTATGCGAGCTTTCACTGTATGTGGTAAAGATTATGTTATATTAAAAAGTTAAATACAAATTAAATTGACAATGCGGCAAAGCTCGAGAACGTAGTGATTAAGCGTTAAATTAGACTGCACTGGGAATTTGAGTGCTCAGAGAAAAATACGTTACCGAAAAAGCCGAAGCTGATAAGAATTTTGAAAATGATAAGGGTTTTTGTCTATTAATACTCGATTACATTAGCCTTGACCGTTATTGTGCGACAATACATAAGTACTTAGTGCTTGAAGAATTTGTTAGCTAGTAAATGCTTTTTCTTCAGCTGCTGTTCAAAAAAAAAATTTCGCAGTTAAGAGCGGATTGAATCAAAGAAGCACCCTAATATCTAGACTCGAAACGCTAAAGAATTTTTAGTAAAACTGAATGTTTAGTATTCAAATGAAAATGCAGTGAACTTGTTCTAAATTTATAAAATGTTGCGTTAAAAAAAATTGTTGATATCAAATATGACCAATAGAAATATTTTGATTTGTAAGTGCACTGAAAAGTATTGAAGAAAAATAATTAGAATTGAACACGAAAGAAAAAAATATCATGCAGGTTTCGCATTACAGGTTTTATACTGTCACTTCTGTGCTATCTACAATTTGGCTTCGCTTATGCGGTCACTAAGAGGGCAACGGCGACAGCGGCGCGCCCTAACGACGCCTCCGACCACACCGTTGATTTGAAGCATTTCGTGTTGGCACGCATATTGGCCGAAGCGGATGCAGCATCAAATTTTGTGATTGCGCCACAGGAACTGCTAGCATTGTACCTGCAACTGCATGGCACGGACAAAGAAATCGCCGATGCCACCGCCGCTGCTGCTGCTATTCCAGCTGTCGTGCCAACTGTCGCCTCCCATACTGATCAAATTGAAAACGGTGATTTGTACAATCAAAGAGCCTACGATGCAGTAAGCAATGATGCCGACACCGACATAACCGGCGACAGCGGCATGAAGGAGTATGCAGAGTTTTTCAACATTGCCGGCAACCCCATAACGGTGTCCAATACGCTGTACGCCGACGCATATAACGCAAAACGGTTTACAAGGAAATTGAAAAATCTGCAATTTGTGCTGAACGAGGAGAGCGATGAGGATGATGACAAAAATACCAGCCGCAACAGTGCTAGTGGCAAGTGCAGAAACATCGATATTAATGCCGCTGCAGTGATACGAACCGGCAACAACAACAACATCAACAACGCTGCCGATCACCACAATTACAACAACAAAACGAATAGCAATTGCAACGAACTAATCAATGCGGTGCGTATAAATTCTCGCTGGGCGCACAATTTCCAAAAGCGTGATACCCACAAACGTCAATTCTACATGCCACAGCTGCACACACACGCTTACCTGAATGCCATGCGCAAAGATGATATCTTTCTTTACGGTGAGTTGACGCAGTTGAACGCCAGCGCCTTGGAATTGTCGCTACAGCGGCAGCAATTGAAAATGCTCATCATACTACCGCATGCAAGGAGCGGTTTGCCGCGTCTACTGCAGCGCCTGAGTGCCAATGTGACGCTACTCGACGAGCTATGCGGCATGTCACGCGACGCGGAACAACCGACAGGTGCAGCTGATGCAACTGGCTACCAGCGTCAACATTTTGAGCCGACTTTGGTGCGTGTTCTTTTGCCGAAATTTCAATTTTCGCAACGCACAGCCTTAGATGGCATTTTTCAGCAGGTTAGTGTACGCAAAAAGGAGAAACAAGATATATGTACAGGGAATATGTAGTTCGGTGCCTTCTGTATTCTTGCCTTTAATACAGTCATGCCCAACGTCGGCAGAACTCCATAAGCAAGTGCCCTGCGCTGGCAGAATTCCATATGCAAGTGCTCTGCGCTGGGCATGACTGCTTTAATACATGTGCCCCACACTAGGGTGGTCCAAAATAAGTACAGACGGAATTTTAATGATCTCACCCCCTAGGATTGTTCTATATCGAAAAAAAGTATTTTGAAAACAAAAAATATTTAGAGGTCGCTCAAAGCGCTCCAACTTTTCCATGTATTTTGTATGGGAAAAAAAACAACTTTCGAGCATAAAAATTCCGACTTTACTTTTTTACATGAATTTTTGAACCACCCTACTCCACACTCTAACTACTTTTCAATGTTTCTATTAATTTCAGTTGCTAAATGTCACAGCGAATGTGGATCTACACTGGCCTAGCGCTTGGCAAGTTACACAGGTGGTACATTTTGCAGTGAGCGAGGACGGTATTGGTGAACTGGAGCCATCGAGTAAGTAAATAGCGCAATGAATTTCAATTTAATTACCTGAAACATTGATTGAATACCCCCACCACTATTCATTTTGTGTACAACATGCGTACCTACATTCGTAAGTTTAATTGTATTTCCATTTGTAGTGGTGCTGTTTTGGAACGCCTTTTCGTCGTTGCGCACTAAGCCGCTGATGTTCTGTGTCGATCATCCGTTCATGTTCATCGTTCACAATCGAGAGGGCATACAGTTGTTGGGACATTTGGCGCAGCTACATGAATGAGTAATTGCAGCTGCATGAATTGTTGGTGTTGCAAAGCGACGTTGAGCTTTCGATTTATGAAGATTTTTTTTTTTTGTTAAAGTGTAAATCTCCTGCGAAACTAGCGCTCTTAGAATTTAAAATTTCATGCAAATAGTAAATTGTTTAACATTAAAAGTTTAAAGTAGATGGTTTCTTTGCACTATGAAATTGCCAACATTCTCCTGAAATTATATCTTTGAAAACGAGGCAAGCCTATTCATTTGTTTATTCACGTACCGCACAGGACTACCGATCAGCAAAACTTCTTATGGAAAAACGCGACTATGTACGTTTAGCTTCTCGCAAAGATTCAGCTTCTCTAATCAAATTAGGTGAGCAGAAAAGCAAGTCTAGAACCTTTCAGAACATGATGGATAGGTACATATTTCACTGTGTAACGAAGAGCAACATAAAACCCAAGGGTGCGCATATATTGGCCATACGAACGTTTGTTTACCTCATAGAGAAAAAAAAAATTTCATGATCCAAAATCTTAGTATCTCGATAGTCAAAAAATTTGTAAATTCCTCATTTTTTTGACTATATTTGTTTAAAATAGTGTGAACGAGCATTAGTGATTGACAATTTCTCTGAACTTTGACAATTAATACGATTTCAATGATTTTGTGGAACGAAGTCTTTTTGACCAAAAATCTAAGAAATTTTTTTTTTTTATTATTTATATTAGATACACTGACGGAAACAAGTGATTTTTTTTTTAAATCAACCAATTTATAGACTACTTTAAAACAAATGCAATGAGTAAACGTTTCGAATTTTTATACTCTTTTTGTTCAAAAAACAATTTGTGTCTTGGAAGTATGAAAAAGCATCTGTGAAGTGCAGAACGCAGGCGTATTCAAAAGAAACATACTGACTTCGAAGTTGTGTAAACCAAATTCATTTTAAAGTAGTTGGCTCCATTCCCACCGATTTCGTTAATTTTTTGCCAATATGCTTCTCTTTCACCCGTTAGGATCCAGCTTTGATCTATAGTCCGACCAGTTTGCATCCAAACAGGTTTATTTTTAATAGCGGTTTCAAAAGCAGGCCTCCAAATATATTGCACACGATCTTCAAAAGTGACACAACATAAAATTTGGTTGTTTTTTTTTAATTATGCATTAGCTGGAGCAAAAATTTGCTATAATTTGTTGGAAAAAACTTAAGGTAATGTCTCCCTTGCCCATGTGGTTAGCATGAGCAACGAAATAGTTTTTTGCATTTTCTGATGAACGTATAATTTTGAGTTGTGTCACTCTTGAAGATCGTGTGCGATATGTATGTATTTCTGCATTGAAAAAGCTTCTCAGGAAAAGCCATGTGTTGTCGGTAGGCGACGTCAAACTATTGAATCGGAGGAGAAGCTCGGCCAAGCCAACTGTATTCATAGCTTTAATTGAAATATTGTACATTCTTCTGCTCAGCTTAATTGCTTGTATTCTGCTGATTTTATCGAAATTGTAGTAGGTAAATATGTACGTATGTAAATTTGTATGTGCATGTGAATTTCATAGTAAAAGTCAAGAGCAAATACAAGTATACTTTCTTGCAAAGAAATTGCTTACAAATTCGAAAAAATATGCACGCATTCACTTTCAAATTGCTCGAAATATACATTTTTCAATAAAACTAAAGAAATACCACATTTTCCATTTATGTCAGTGCACTGCATGCAAAAACCACAATACAACAATAAAAACAAACACCTGCAAAACAGTATAAAACTTACAACAACAATGCAACAAAAAGGACAACATCCAAGTTGTTGGTGAACAGGCGGTAATTTTGCTGTCATCCTGCGTCAACATGAAAATCTCAGCAGAAATCGCAGCTTGACAGCATCGGGCGACAGCCAATTTATTTCATTCCTTTCACTCGTTTATGTAAAAAGCACGCACACAAAATAACAACGCAAATATTTCGTATATGTATGCAATGAACACAGCTGAGGAATGTGTTGGTGCAAAAATATTTTGCTGTCATTACTGAACGCTTTTGAGCAGATTTTGTTTGTCATAAATGTGTGGCATGTTGACTTTGCACTCATATTTGTGAATATGTATTAAAATATTTTTACCCAGTAGGCAAAAAATATAGTTTTAGGGATCTTCCACAGCCACAGCGGCCACCAAAGCTTTAACTAAAAGAAAAAGGATCAGTCCAGCGCCTTCGTCTCATAAACAGGTGGCAACTCTCTTTTAAATATATCCAAACCACAATCTCTTTCGACTGACACTCATATCAAGATACGTATTTCCTAATCACCTTAATTTAAGTTTGAACTTGATTTTTTAAACGGGTGGCAACGCTCCTACAACCACACCTTGAACAGTACGGATAGTCGTTGTGTGCAAATCTATTGAGATGCTCACGTTGAGGACCATGGTTCGAGGACATCTGGGTTAAATGAAAACTAGAATCTACCACCATTGGTCCGGAAATCTTTCACTAAGAAACATTCACATGTCTTTCATATTAATTTTAAATAATAAAAAAGTATATGAAAGTATGAAAGATCTGGCATCCTCCGATTATTTTGTTTTGCTTTGGTGTTCATTTTCGTCTCAGTAAAACATAAAGAAGTGCATATTTCATACATCGAATTTAAGGAAGATTACCTGAATTTGCGCAAGTTATGGCCCCATCCAGCGCTCGAAATTTTTATAGACCTTCCCGATACCGCCCATGCCGGCCAATTTGAAATAAGTAGTATGGATCCCGCGGTTTCCGATATCCCTCGCCCATCTCTACTCTGAAATTTTTTCGCTACTTGATACTCGTCAGGTGAATTTTTTGGCTATCACTTTAGTTTATGGAAATTAGGCAGTTTTTTATTAGCTTGTTTTTCAAGGTTTGCTTGTTATTGTTGTTGTTGTATTTTTTTTTTTGTTAAATTTTATTTCAATTTTTGAATTTTATTATGAAAAAAGAAAAATTTTGTTTTAGATTTCATTTACTTTTTAGTCATTTATTTATTTTTTTTTTTAATTGAATGCATTACTTTATTCTTAATTCCATACTTTTTTTAATTTCTAGATTTTATCGTTTCAAAAAGAATAATATATATATTTTTTTTCATTTAATATTTAAGACCTTAGTTTTTAAGTACTATTTCATTCTTTTGCGATAATTTTTTTTTTATTTAATTTAATTTAATTCATTGATTTTTATTGTTTTCATAGGACAAATTTACATAATTCTTTACTTTAATTAAATTAAAAAAAAAAACTTATTGCTACGACCTCTTCGCTAACAGATCTTTCAATTAGTTTTTTCAAAGACAGATAAGAGCTTTCAAATAGTTGCCAGAATTGACTTTTGTCTTTCGAAAAAATTGTGGCGAGTTGAAAGACAATTGCCAGAGTTGCCCTCATAGACTGCTATTTCGAAGTTAGCTACATCTTTTCATCAGACGTCTTACCTGACTTCAGTCAGATTCAATCTCATATCAGCTTTAGTATTTCTCGATATTTCCTGCAGGTACTCACTATCAATAAGTTATTTACTTTTACAGAACTCTGTCAGTGCTCACCTATTTTGCTCCCTTAAAGAGGGCGCAAATAAACATATGCGACATATCGGTGTGGCAAATATAATTTGCATTGTCATCAAAGCGTAGAGCAACAGCCAGCTGCACATTATTTACGAAACCAAAAATTAAAAAAAAAATACTGAGACCAGCAAGAATCTGGATGAGCAGCCGGTCATATGCTGTAAGTCATTCTGTAAATACAGTATGTTTTAAATACAGATATACATACTATGTGTGTGTTATAAAGAGTGCCACCACAAAGTAATAAGCTTGTCCTTATGCCTTCAGTCGTTGTTAGTTAAGTATGCAAAAAATGAGTATGTATTGCACGACAGAGCGCGCTTTATATAGCGAGGTATGTACATACACAAATTTTCAAACGTATTTTTTCCTGCTGTCATATACTACAAATGTGACTCTTGACTGTGCTTTCGTATTATAAATTTATGCAATGAAAAGATATTTACTTTTTCCCTCTATGCTTTGTATGAATATTCAAATTGAATTCATTTTCAAAGCATAACGCTAGGCGCTTAACAAAGTGGCGTCCCCACTCCAGCATATTAAACTTTCACTTTACTTTTTATTTAATTTTTGTGTCAAGTATAAAGTTATGTAAGCTATAGAAGCATATTTATTATTCAAAATTTTTACTTAGTGTACGTTGTGCCAGCTACAAAATAAATAATTTACTAAAGGCACATAATAAATCCTTCAACACGTCGTGTTCTCGTCGACAAATCACGCAGGCATTGCACGTGCTTTTCACTCAACTTCCGACTAATGAAGGCCGGAAGTCAATAAAAATGCAGCAACCAAAAGGAAATTTTGAGGAAAAATTCAAACAAACGCAAAAAGAGTTTAAAAAACCGACACCAATGGAAAAGAATAATCACCGAAAATTGGTAAGGACGTCTCCTGTTTGTTTTCTTCTTTAGCCACTACCTGTTCAGTAATCGTCGACAGCCATTGACTGCAGTACAAAATTTACCGTCTTTGAGTGGAAAAATAATCGTCTGCCACTTCACACAAATCTTCGTCGCAAATAAGTACGTGAGCGCATACACCCGCCGGCAAAGCTGGCTGCCAACATAAAGCCAAATTGATTTTCGTTAACCTTCACCTTTATCACCAAAATTTTCGTTTACAGCTTTCATTGAGTTCTTAGGCGGCTGAAGTGACCAAGCATTAGGTATCGTAGCACCAAGCAACCAGCAAAGTACTTATTTAAGTGCTAAAATTGTTGAAGTACCATGGCGTTGAAGGCCAAAGTGAACCGTCGACACTTTTCTCATTTTTCTCAGTAATCTGGTAGCACTCAAGTAAACTTTGCAGTGAACACCTGTATTTGATGTTGGCTTCTTCTCGATTTACGCTCACTTCTTCACTACGCTAAATTCTATTTTACTAATTTGCCCTCTTCTGATAATGACGCCGGTATCGAGTATGTTAAATTTAGTACATACATATCGTCATTTAAAGAACAAAACCGCGTAACTGACACTTTTTGCCTGACGCTCTTTGCTCAATCCTTGTCCTTTTGTCCTGAAATATACTAGCCAGAAATGCGA